GCAGACCTTCAGATGGTGTCTCCCCTGCACAGTAGCGAAGGGCTTTGGTGGGGTTATCATCCCCAAAACACTTCCATGGTGAGCAACACAAACGTCTTGCTCATCTCCCCCTGGGATTTTCTGCACCTGCTGCTGCCAACCCAACTGCAGGCAGGATGTATTCCGGCAGCTCTGTCCCAGCTCTCTGCCAGGGCTGAGGGGAAGATTTCGCCCAGCATAGCATGGTGCATAACTGGGACCTGTTCTCATGGGAGGGCAGGGGCAGCATCTCAGCCCCACGCAGTGGCTTGAGCCACACAGGCTGAGTGGCTGCAGCCTGTCATTGTGTATCCCAAGAGCCATGTCTACTTGCAGAGGCTAGGAAAGAGCAGCACAGACAATTTGGGGGGTCTACTAAAGAGGGAAACTGCATGCCTCCAGCACAACGTGGAGTGTTTATTCAGAAACTGCAGAGCTAAAGCACATACTTGTGGGCCAGACTTACAAGGTCAAAGTGTGGGAAGCCTCAGGATGGGATCAGTGTGTAGTCTACACACAGTGAATTCAGAGATACCCGTCCTCCCAGGGACTGGTGGATTTGCCTCTTTATCTCACATGGCTCAAAAACAAGTGTCAGAGCAAGGGGAGGCGAAAGGAGTGATTTAACACCACCACAAACCTCAGGAGCCGGTGCAGAATGGCTGGAGCCGGTCTGGTACAGAAAGTCTGACTCTGAAGGCCAGCAGATCTGTGTCTGGCAAGGTCAGGCGAGACTGAAGAGGCAGCTGGTGGATAGCAAGATGCCTGCAACGCACTGGTCTGTGGCAGGGGGTATGCATGTGGATTTGCACTTTTGCATACAGTTTTGCCTGTTGAATTTACCAATCTGTTTCCCATCTTTTCATGCTTCAGTCAAGGCAGGGGCAGAAAGGGATTATCTGCTTTCACAGGCACCATAGTTCATCACACAGAGCTACTAGTAGTCCCGCTCTCAGAGAAGCATGTTGCAATCAGGCAAGTTGCCCCCAAACCTGCCTCAAGTTGGAGTGAAGGACAAGCCTGAAAATTGCTTCTCTGTTGTTCTCATGCAAGACAAAACTGGAAGAAGTGCCCCTGACCCCCTGCTAGAATGACAGCCATATAACTCTCCCAGCTGCCCATGTTGATCCCCCTGATAACGGTGGGTTGAGGGCTGCATCCATGACTGCAGGGAGGGGTAGGCAGGTGTCTGGATATTGCCTTGCAGTAGCAATGCCAGATGGGGGTAAACAGAGATACCACTGAGTCTCATAAAGAGCTTTGACATCTACATAGATCCAAAGCCTTGGTGTTGCTGTGTCTGCAGTGACAGCAGTCCCAACACTGTCCAGAGGCAGGCCCAGTGGCAGGATCCAGTGCTAGGTCCAGCTGTCCCTTGGACAAAGCATTCCCAGGGCTTTTGGGTAGTGAAAGCCATGTCGGGGACCAGCATGGTGAGATGTACCCAAGGCGGCGGGGGGTCCCCTACCAAGCAGCTCCAATGACACTCAAGGAGCCTGTGACACTGGAGCTGCTCAGGTTGCTGGACATCTGGTTGAGCTCCTCCAGGTCCTCACCTAGGAAACTGGATGCATCAGTGAAGGTGACCCAGGGCTAGCTGAACCAAAATGTGGAGAGAAGGGGGAAGGAAGCAGTGCCTGGCACACTGTAAAGCGTCCAGCTGCAACAGCTCATGCAACTGAGACTGGCCAGAAAGTTTAACCTACTTGCACAAATTCACCCATAGCAAAGGGAAGGCAGCTTTGGCTATATCTGCTACAGAGCTCTGCTGGAGAAGAAGAGTGCTGTGTTGCTTGTGCTGATGGGGGACACAGAAGCAACACTGGGCTCTAAAATGAGTGTCTGAGCCCAGTGTTCCTGGCATTGTGGTCAAGTCTCTGCCTCTCAGTCCCTCCACTTCGGAGCAGAGACAACTTGAAACTAGGTGGTGGAGTCTGTAATTTCCACACTGTAATTTCCAAATGGGATCCCATGGAATAATAAAATCACTTCCTTGGCATTTAAAGTAATTCACACACAAAAGCCAAATCTTTACAGAGATTTCGGTCCTGAGAGATGCAAGTGCAGGCTCTGGAAGATTTTAAAGCCCATCTATTCCATTAAGCACCTCTAAAGACTCTGAGGGCACAGCAACTCTTTCTTTTACAAACATTCTTTACAATTCTATTGGTTTCTACCCAGCTAGAAGATGGCTGGAATGAAGAAACATTCCCAGTACCAGCTCTGCAGTGTCTTACGGCAATGTTTTGCTGAGTCAAGAGTCATTTATCAGACCTCACCAGGCTTTGGAGTGACTGAGTAGATGGGGGGGTGTGAGAAGCTCAGTTAGCTACAGCCTGAGCATGCACTCAGTTCCCATGGACCACTGAAACACCCGGGGATTTCCACCCTTTCTTTCATGTGGCATATCACCTGCAAGCAGCCCAGAATATGTCAAGCTCTTTGTATGCTTCCACATGTGATGTCCCGCTATGGCCAGGCATATAGAATCATAGAATAGAATCGTTTAGTTTGGAAAAGGCCCTTAAGATCATCTAGTCCAACTGTTAACCTAATGCTACCAAGTCCACCACTAAACCATGTCCCCCAAGTGCCACATCTACATGTCTTTTAATACCTCTCAGGATGGTGACTCAATCTCTTCCCTGGGCAACCTGTTCCAGTGCTTGACAACCCTTTTGGTGAAGAAATTTTTGCTAATATCCAATCTAAACCTTCCCTGGTGCAACTTGAGGCCATTTCCTCTCGTCCTATCTCTTGTTACTTGAGAGAAGAGACTGACACCCACCTCACTACAACCTTCTTTCAGGTAGTTGTAGAGAGTGATGAGGTCTCCCCTCTGCATCCTTTTCTCCAGGCTAAACAACCCCAGTTCCCTCAGCTGCTTCTCGTAGGACTTGTTCTCTAGACCTTTGACCAGCTTCATTGCTCTTCTTTGGGCACACACACCAGCACCTCAGTATCTTTCTTGTAGTGAGGAGTCCAAAACTGAACACAGTATTCGAGGTGTGGTATGTTTTCCCCCCCTCCCCAAGCACTGTCTTTGCACTGGAGCATCCTGCAAGATAGAGTTTTCAGGATGTCTGCATGAGGCAGGGTGACCCCAGGGCCGTGCAGCATCATACAGTACTGTAACATGGACACCCTCACCAGCATGGGACACCTTGCCTTCACTTGTGACTGAGCTACAAGAAAGTTCCCTGTGAATGACTTGGAAGCCTCACATCTCTTTATGCCTGCCATCCATGCTCCTGGCCCACCCTCCTGTATCAGAGTCTTCCCATATCTGCTCTGCTGCCACCACCCTGCTCCTTCTTTTGGGGCTGTTAAACCTGCCCCACCTCTCTGGAGGTACCATGTAATCTGCAGTGGACACAGGGGAGGAGCCCTAGAGCAAAGTGGTAACTCAAGGGATAAGCAGAAAGGGAGCAGAGATGACCACGGACCCCCAGGTTACATCTCAAGAAAACCTCATGCACAAAATTTCAAACTCTGGAGCTTCCAGGGACCTAGAGAGAGAACCTGCAGAGAGGAAAGGCTGTACATTAAAAAATTAAAAAGCCTGGCAAAAACTGGAGGCAGGCCAGATCTGCTTACTCCTGAGGAGCTGCTCTGCTGCAGGGCAGGTCTTGGGACTGCCCGAGGAGGTGGGATAATCCATACCATGAAAGGCAGCCAATTCCCAGAGCACCTGGGGGTAGCCACATTGTCAGGTTCTTCTACCAGTCTTGGAGCCACTTTGAAGTCTTTGGGGGGGGGGGGGTAGGGGCACCATCACCTCACCAGAGCATAAGCAGTTGAATATCTAATGGGGAAAAGTGCTGGTAGAAGCTGAATCCCAAATACTCTGGCACTGAGCGTGTTAGAAACTGGCCAAAGTGGGGACGAGTCCCTGGTCCAGCAGAATGGTTATACACAGGTATAATCTTAAGCTTTTCTGCGCTATCCCAGCACAGGAAACTCTGAAGGCAAGAGGAGGCCAGGATTGCCACCTCATTCCAAATGCAGGAAACTGAGGCAGACTGACCTGGGGGCCCAGCCATGCAGACCACAGAGCAGGGAGCAGGATCTCAGGATTGAAGCCATTGTACCAAGCAGAAGCTTCCTCTTTGCAGCTGTACTGGCCCTGAAGAAGGTCCTACATAGACTGCACGAGCCTGCATGCTGTGCAGGTCTGGGGCTACGATGGGCAACAGGGAGCTGGGAGCAACCACTAAAGGATACCCTCCTATGGGAGCAAGGGACCCTGGTTTTACTGGGGCTGCCCATTCCCATCCTGCTTCATGAGGAAGGTGCTTTGCTCATAGCCTTGATCCACCGGGTGCTGGACCAGCGAGTCATTGGGAAGTCCTCAACATGCACAGGCCCTTGGCTGGAGTCCTGGTATGGATTCATTATTCTGTCTGGATTTCTCAGGAAGGTGGTGTAGCCCTTGCACAGGTCACATGAATTTGGCAGTCTCCATCCTTAGGGGTTTTCAAAACATATGATGCTACAGCCACCCTGACCTCGTGCAGCAGACAGTCCTGCTGTGAGGGGGGGCTGGAGTGGAGATGGAAGTCCCTTCCCACTAGCACTGCTAGGGTCCTATGCAAACACCTTTCAAACAGCACACATCCCATTTCACACCTTGCAAGGGGTCCACAAGGACTAAAAACACCTCCCTGCACCTCACTCTGGAAACCAGCAGTGAGGCAGTGCAGCATCCTGCCCTGCCATGCAGCTTCTCTCTACTACAAAGGAGGGCATTTAAGTCACAGTTTAGCAGCAGTTAGTGTAAATTTCCTACTTTAAGTGGTTGCTGTATAAAAGTACTAACATGTTTTGCAATCCACGCAGTAGAGCCTGGGCAGAGACTCGTGCACCTTTGCACTCTGATAAGGAGAATATTATTGGTCTACTAGTGGCCTAGCCAGATAAGAGGTTTGGGGCGGGCAGTCTGCGTTTTTTTTTTCTCAAGCTCTCATTATTCTGCACCAGTATCTCCAGATGCTGTTCGTGGGGAACTAAGCTGCTTTCTATCTAAAACTGCAAAGAGCGATGGAGAGTTTAAGCAAAGACCTTGCCTATTCGGACTCATCCCAGCCACCCTCCGCAAACAGGGAGGAGTATGCCATGCCAGGTAATGATGACAATATTCCCAATTTAAGTTTTTGGAGAGAAGAGAGAATGATCTTTGTCACTGGTGGTTTCTAAAAAAGGAGTTAATAATTGCCAGTTTATGCTTGGGGGATGGAGGATGTGCATTTAACTGCAAATATATGTGTCTTTTTCTGAGTTGTGTTTCTGATTATAAAGGCAGAAGCACCTATAAAGGCTTTTCAACTTGGACAAAGTCCCTCAGGCAGCATCAATATATTGTCTGTTTGCAGACTGGCAATACTCTCTCATTGTTCTCTTAGCTTGATGGATTTTTTTCTTTTCATTTCATCTCTGTATCTTTGTATCCTCTGCTAAATAATTTTTCATCAGCATGCCGATGTTTTACCGTGATCTTTCCTGCCTAGTGCTAGCAGGGGACCGGCAGCTTTGGAGCAGCCGTGGGAGTACTCTCTTGGACTGGTTAGAAATAAATGAGGGGTGTTTGCTACCTGTGCAAAACAATTTGCTTGGGATGGGTTGGGAAGGAGACTGATTGCAAGCAGCTAAAAATACTTTTATGGCTCATAAGACATTTTGAAAGGGAAAGAAAGTTACCTTGGCTGCAAAGAGATGTGCAAGGGATTATGCACTTCAGTCGTTAAACTGAAGCCCTGTGAGCCCTGTGTGGATCCTGCTACTACAACTTGTAGCCTCATCTTCCCAGGCAGCTTCATGCCTTTTGCTATGTGGATGGCAGAGTCATCTCTCGCTGGCTGTGCCCTGTGGCCTTTGATACTCCTTCACATTGAGAAGCAGCTTCCCATTTGGGGAACATCTACTTGGCTGTACGGTGTGCAGTCCAAGTGCAGTGTTTTTCGTCTCAGAGGCTGACACTTTCTCTGGTCATGCCGAGATGCGCTTGCCATAACTGAGATACTCTGGCACTGTTGTTGTATGTGGCGTTGTATGTTCAAATCTGTATCACATCCTGCTGTGCCTTTTCTCTTTGGTCTGGTTAGGCTGGAATTTTTTTAGGAAAGGAGCCGTCTTCTCCCATACAGCTCTACTGTGCTCCAAGCAAAGGGGAGTCCTTGAACTACCGTACAAAAACCAGCAATAAAAAAACAGAAAAACTAATAGGCAACAACAGAAAGTAGGATTTTTTTTTTACTTTGTGGTTGTGATGGTGGCTGTTATTATTAGACAGCACTTGGAATACCAAGCCCAGATTTAGGCAGCTCTGGGCACAGGAAAGACAAAGGCATACTGGGGTGAGTCCAGTTCTCCCAGCTGGACAAGGGAATGATGACCATTCTTCACCAATTTGACCTAATACTTTAGTGTGAGCTGAGGCTCTTTGTCGAACGAGCTGTATCTGATTACATCTGGAAGGAGCAGGTCATAGTGTTGCTTTTTTATTGTGTGGGTTTTGTTGAAACTATAAAAATCAGTGCTTTTGTGACCTCTTCAGTGTACGCATGGGAAGAGTCCCCACTTGTTCCCAGACCCAGGGGAGTGGTGTTGCTTCTGAACAAAGCTGTTTTTCTCAAGGGAGCACTGTTGTGCTACTTGATCTAAGCCAAGGGATTTCATGGTGTCCTCATGGCATGGGAAGCCTGCCCCATGCTTCCATCAGGCTCCAGGTCCCTACAGTGCTAGGTAGGTTGGACAAGAGTCGCCCCAAGGCTGCAGCAGCAGGAAGAAAAATGCAACTAGAAATTTAGCGTAACATCCAGTGCCGGAGCCTGGGAGCTTTGGGTGGTGTGTCATCAGATCCTAGCCACTGAGGCTGAGCTGGAAGTACAGCACCCAAGCAGTTTTGTATCAAGACCCACTTCGTGACAGAAACAGCATGGTCTCTTGCATCAGTCCTCTGTCACCAGACAGGGAGGGATCAAACTGTCCCTTGGTCAGGATCTCATGTTTGCACTTAATTTGTCCTTGTAGATGTCAGCATCACCCGTCGCTTGAGAGACCGGGAAATGCTCCGGAAAAGAAGAGCTGAAGCCCATGAGAAAGACTCAGTTCAGTGGGTTCTGAGGTGAATCTCATTTATGCTTTAAGCCCCATCAATCTTCAGTGGGGGAGGGTGACCTGCAGCCGGTAGCTGCTGAAGGTCTAGGCAGGTGTTGGGGGGCAGAGGTGTGGGGGGGGGAGGGTGGGTTATGTAGGTGGTAGGTTGGGTGCCAAGCAATCCTCAACCACAGCGTGGGGCTGGGGAAAAAATTGGTGCCCAAGCTCCTGCCTGCCAGTGCAGCCACAAGAGGCTGCCGTGCAGGGCTGGGGAGGAGGGCTGCAGAAATGCAGCTTCTGCTGGGATGGACGGGGTCACGATCCCAGAAGGGGGGCTGGCAAAGCAGCCTTGGCACAGGAGGGAAAGTCCTCCGCCCCACACCCAACTCTTTGCCCCTGTGAAATCCCCCGGCAGGGATTACAAGAAGATCAAACGGCAAAAGAGAAGCAGAGGAGGCAGGCGAGGACGAGGCCGCCAGCCTGTGATGGAGCCCAGCCAGGAGCCAGAACTGGAGCTGGACCCCCAGCCCAACCCGCAGGAGGAGGCTGAGCCAGTGCCCTCCAGTCCAGCACTGCCTGAGCCGGTGCATCAATTGCCCGTGCTGACAATCCAGGACCTGGTCAGTGAGATGGAACTGGGAGCGGCAGAGGGGGAGCAGGGAGCCATGATCGAGGATCCCGTGGGTGAGCTGCCGGAGGGCCACTGGCCCTGTGGGGGCTCGGGGGGGCAGTGCAGTGCCGCCTCTTGAGGACTGTCGGCCAAGGTTGCCCACCTTATCATGGCACCACCAGGGCACAGGTCCCTGCCCCACCAAACACAGCTTGGGTAGTTGTGAAATGGTGGTGGGGGATGCTGGAGCTGTGGCAGCAGATACCACTCTCCAAGTCACAGGGAGTGACAAAAAGCCCACTGCTGTCAGCAGAGTCATTGGCATGGGGTCTGTGGTGCCTGGTCCTAAATAGGTCCTTGTCCTAAGGACACCCCTGGTCTCTGCCAAGAGCCAGGGTAGGGCAGAGAGGCTGTGGAGAGAAGATGTGGTCTCTTGAGGCCAGAGCTGGTCAGGGAGAGCCGAAGCCCAGACACGCTCTGTCCACAGTCCACCTGGTTTGGGGGCTGTCACCAGGGTGGAGGGGGAGGGAAAGGTGGGCACTAGGGCAAGGGGTGGGTGTCTGCAGGGGACTACCCCTTTGAAATCTGTCAGGACCGAGGCATGGAGGGCACTAAGCTGGTCTGAATGGCAGATTGCCATCTGGGCTCAGGAAATCCATTTACAGCTAATGCAGCTGGGGCCAGCAGGAGTTGCTCCCAGATCTGGCTTGGGAAAAGGAGAGCACATTTACTTTAGTGGCCAGTGGGCCAAGCCTGCAGGTTGCTTCAAAACCAAGAAAACCTAGGATCTGCTTCAGAGGTGGTGAGCCTGACCTGCAATTAATGAATTTCCAGCAACGTCTGTGCCAGGGAAGGAGAAAAGACCTTTCACTGCAAGGCGTGCAATGCCCTCATGCCAAGGAAAAAAAACATACTGCATCCTAGGGACTGGGTCTGACTGGGGCACATCACACGAGTCCAGCTCCCAGCCCTGAGATCTTGAAATGGGCTGTGTTTATTTGCCTCCTGCCTTTAAACCCGCTGGGGCTTTACCCTCTCCAACTCCCCTCCACAGCCCCGGGGACTGCCGTGTCCTTTGAAAAGCAGGTAGACCACTGGGAGCTACCTAACATCACAAGCAATTGCAGGAGCCTCGCCATGGGGGCTTTAGCATGGCATGGAGGGGTAATGCATGAGAGACCCCCAATATGAAATTATCTGTCTCTTACAGGCCTTGTAGGTGAAGAAGACTTGCTGAAACCAGCAGAAGCAGAAATACCAGAAGCTTTGAATATTCCTCTGGAAAATGAATACCGGGATGATGAGTACAGCACAGATATTCTATTTTAATTTGCTGTTGGTGGTTTTTTTTTTTTCCCCAATGTTTTGACTCCTGCATGATAAACTCTGATAAGTACTGGACCAGCTCTTTCCTTGTGAGTAATAAAGCCCGCACTTTCCTGATCACTCTGCTTTCTATGCTTCTTTCAGGTTACGATGAGGGGGAACGTGGTTGCTTGCATAAAGGCAATCCTTTCCGAGGTGCCTGCTGCCTGCGGTCCATGAGGCCCCCCCAGCCGTCTCTGCCAGCAGGCTGTTCCACCTGGGTGGTGGTCCCATGGAGGGCTGCACAGTGCCCCACCATGCTGCAGTTTAAGCGTACAGACCAGCGTCCCTCCATGTTTCTGAAAGGCATTTCTGATTTGCAGAAATGCAAGTGGCATTGTGAAGCTGAATCCCACCATGATTTTTAGCTGGCTGGAGCAGCCCAGCTTGGGCTTTTTCCTGCACCCGATAAATCCTACAGCCCCTTGTGTTATCATCTTCAGTCTGAAGGTCTTTCTCACAGTCTGTTCTCCTCCTTGGTAAACAGCTTGCTTTCCTAGAGCCTGGAAAGCATTTTGTTTCAATTTCTGGGCAACCTCACACTAAACTTGCTGAGCTGCTGCGTTAGGCAAACAAAAGGTGGTTGAAAACAGCCGAATGTGACAGGCTGAAACTTGGCTGAACCATACACTTCTGTGAGGGAAATGCCGTTTGGGGCAAAGACAGGAGCCACTCTGCACAGCTTGCCGTGCCCTTGGATCCCCAGCCACACACACAGGATTTCTCCTGAAGCCAGGAAGGAAGGGGGCACCCTCTTTCTCTTCCCACATTTTGGGTCTTGTGGTCTCTCCTGTGTGTGGCAGGAGGGGTGGCTCTCATGTTCCTGTAATATCCTGACACAGAGAGTCTTTCTCCTCTTGGGGTGGGGTGGAAGTCTCTATTGCTATTACCTGAGTTACCAAGGGCCTGTCTCCCAGAGCACAGGACTGGCCAGGCACTGAGGTCACCCTCGATTTGGGGGATTTATAGATTTTTTGTGGCTCCAGAGATGTTGCTGCTGCTGTCCCAGAGCCCTGCAGGCTCTGTGTCTCAGCAGATGTGACATCTCACTGGTGACACCAGTAATGTCATCTTTTGAGTGACAGGATGGACATCACTGACTCCTGCCCCTGCTTCAGTCCCAGGCACGTCGCATGAGGGGCAAGTGCTCACAAGCACTTAGCACAGCCTCCCCACCCCAAAATCCTGGGATGACCTCTGCAGTTACACCGCCAGCAGCTCTAAAGCACCTGGTGTGTGTCAAAGCAGAAAGCATCCAGCAGCCCCATAACTAAGCAAATGCAGCCCATACCCCGTGAGCAGCTCCTGGAGGGACAGCTCTCCCTACACAGGTGTCCTGGCACTGTTTTGGTCTCCATAGTCATCTCAGCTAACACACGGTTGCGCTATCCCCTTGAGTGACCGATACTGGTGGGAGCAGAGCAAGATCTCTCACCTTCTGCCATGAACTACCCAAACCTCATTCACAACCCCAAATACTTAAGGCATAACCAGAGGGCCTCGCAGAAGCCCTGCAGCGTGGAGGGAGCTGTAGCTGGGGGAGGGATGCTGACCGCAGACCAAGGCACTGGGTGAAGGCAGCTGAGGCTGCACGGGCCTGAAGGGGAGCCAGAGGCAGAATGCCATGTTATGGTTGAGCACCACCACAAAATCTGTGCTGGGGTCCTCCCGCAAGTGTGATGCTGCGTTGCAAGGAGGCTGGTCTGTAGGTTCTGCTGCAGGCAGGCAGGCAGGCCAGGAGACCCTGCCACCTGGCAGAGCCCCACACGTTCCGTGGTGAAGGCCAGGAAAAGCTAGTGGCTCTTTCCAGCTCTCCAGCCCTCTGCAGTGCTCACAGAGGAGGTGAGGGAGAAATTGGCTGCGCTGCCCACCTCCACATCTGCAGGCATTTAGGCTCACCTGGTTTCCACAGCTCTTTAAATTTTGGGGAGAAGAAACTTCTGGGAGGCTTTAGACTCGTCTCACAGCTCCTGTCAGTCAAGGAGGGCACAAAACAATCTACCATCTCCCTCCTTCTCCGGTGTTGAAGTGGAGCTGTAGGAAGTGGCGAAGGCCTGGCAGGGTGAATTCTCTATGAACACGGGGCAACGCTCATTGCTGAAACACGTGTGGACAGCGGTGCCGATCCTGTGCCGCAAGGACTGGAGAGCTCCCTGTGGGCAGAGGCTCACAGGGACCAGAGAAAGCACCTCTGTCCATCTCTGCAGAGATGGCTTTGGTGGCCATGAGGTCCTGGGGTCACACCGGGTACCACACGCTCTGTCTTAGCGCTGCTCTTACTCTAACTGGCTTCTTTGGCAGCCGGTAAGAAAGATGTACCTGCAAGCAACAAATCTTATCACAAAATAACCAAGGGAAAGATAAAGCCTTCCTTATCAGCACTTTCACTCACAAGGTACTGTTTTTTTCTCTGACGAGAGGACAGATAACAGAGCTCTTGCTTATGCAGATGGGGTTTAGGTGCAAAGCTGGACAAGTAGAGGTCCATGTGCATCCCTGAGGTAGGTCCTGCTGTCTGAATGGAGCTGGGGATGGGCTAGCAACAGTGGCTGTATCTAGGGGAGGGAGGCTGCTGTTTTGCAGATTGCATCACCTTCTCCCTCCTTTCCCTCCTTCCTGAGCCCCAGAGAGATGTCTTTACCCAGGGCTGTTAACAGAGTGTGCAATGAAGGTCATTTTTACCCTCTGAGGTGACAAGTAGGGTCTGGGTCTGACACGAAGGGGAAGGGCTGGGGGAGGTCAGAGACCTTTAACTGACTGCAGCCTTCTGGATGATGAAGAGCGGGTAATGGGTGCAGGGAGAGGGGGTTGTAGTGAGGTGGGTGTTGGTCTCTTCTGTCAGGTGGCTGGAGATGGGACAAGAGGAAATGGCCTCAAGTTGAGGCAAGGGAGATTTAGGTTAGATATTAGGAAATTTTTTTTTACTGAGAGGGTTGTCAAACATTGGAATGGGCTGCCCAGGGAAGTGGCTGAGTCACCATCCCTGGAGATATTAAAAAAGCAAGCGGACAGGGTAATTCAGGACATGGTTTAGTGGGCATTGTTGACGGTTGGACTCGATGATCTTGAAGGTCTTTTCCAACCTAAATGATTCTATGATTCTATGAGAGGGCTTCTGAGCTATGGGGCCAGCACAGGGAGCTGGGTCAGTGCCTGACACAATGCTCCCCTCCTTGCTGTGCCGTACCGGTGAGAGGGCTGCATGACGCTCTTCCAGGATGCCCTGACCTGCTACCTGAGCCATGCGGACCAAGGCAGGCATGCTGTGATATGCAGTGAGTATGACCACCATGATTCTCTCCTCAGTCCTGAGATTCAGGTTGGTGTTTGTTAATGTCAACTGGGCTGGGCTGACCATGCTGCTGTGAGCTCACGTCAGGGCCGTGGGTCCTGTCCCCATGACCTGCAGAGCATGGGGAGCGATCCCGAGGGCTAACAGCTGTGACAGGACAGCTAAGGAGAGGGAAGCTGACACCATATCCAGGAGAACCAGACTCTCCTCTGCCGACTGCCAATTATACTTCAATATCCTTCCAGGAAACATGCTTCCAGCTCGATGGGAGAAGAGAGGTGGTTTGGTTGGTGCACCCTGGCTTCCCACTTCTCAAATTGCCCTTGTGAAACAGGGCCCCCCACATCTGCAGAAAGTCAGGGGTGATTTGTAGCAGGCTGTTTCTCATGGGTGATGTTTTGAGGTGGGAGGGTTTTCCGGTCCTTGGCAGAAGTGAAGTCATAGCTAAGCCTGAGCAGAAAGTGGGCCAGCAACTTACAGCCAGAGGCCACAAGAGGTCAGCGAAAAGCCTTTCCACCCTGCAAGAGCCTGGTCTTGCAGAGATAAGAAAACTTTCTGGCTGATTTACCAATATTGACTTTAAGCAGTAAATCCTGGTGACGGCAAATACCCACTCCCTCTTTGGTCACTGTTTCCTGGTCAGAGCATGTTAGCTCTGATCCTTCCCATTCTGTGTTTGCCATTTAAATAAGTACCTCTCTAATACTGCCAGGGCTGCCACAGAGTGCAGCTCTATGCCCAGCTGGGCTCAGCAGTGCTCCACCGGCTGGCCTGGCTCTCCTGTTCCACCAGGAAATGATATAACTGTAGAAAAAGTTAAGTGGGAAGAGATCTCTGGAAATCTTGACTCCAACCCCTGCTCAAAGCATGGCTCACTCTGAGCAGACTTCTTAGGGCTTTTTCCAACCAAGTGTTGACCATCTCCAAGATTGGAGATGCCCCCCTCCCTGGTCCCCATCCTAGGGCTGCCCCGCTCTCAAGGGAAGAAGGTTTTTCCTTACGTCCAACCAGACTTTCCCTCGTCACAGCTTTTGCTCCTTGCCTCTTGCCCCATCATGGTGCACTTCAGAGAAGACCTCACCTTCATCTTCGCTGTAACCCTCTCTAGGACGGCAAGTTAGACTCCACGCTCGCCTTCTCTGCTCCAGGTGAACAAACCTGATTCCCTCAGTCTGTCCTGTGCTCCAGCTCCCTATCTCGACGGCCTCAGCTGGGCTCCAGTCTTTCTTGTACTGGGTCACCCTAACTGGATCCAGCATTCCTCGTGTGGGCTCACCCACATCAAGCAGGGGGTATGGCCGCTTGCCTCAGCCCACAGGCTGAAGCTCAGTCCGTCTCCATGGCCTTGGGGCTTTGGGCACGATCGTGCCTTTGCCTCCCCCAGACTGCCGGAGGTTTTCGCAGAAACACAGAGCAAAGAGACCAAGACACAGCTTGTGCGGCAAAGCAGCGTGCTCTGAACTTCACAGCCTTAACTGCGATTCTTTTTCCAACCCTCTTCTGTACACACCGTCTCCCAAGTCGCCTGCAAAAGCGCAGCCAACGGCGGCTGAGCGCCCCCCCGCCCTCCCAGTTACAACCCAAGGCCGCAGCGAAAGCAGCCGCCGCCGTCCCGCCAGGCTTTCTGCAAGCCTGCAAAGCGCTGCAAACCGCGGCGGC